TACTACTACTACTACTACTACTACTACTACTACTACTACTACTACGTCTACTACTACTACTACTACTACTACTACTACTACTACTACTACTACTACTACTACTACTACTACTACTACTACTACTACTACTACTACTACTACTACTACTACTACTACTACTACTGCTACTGCAACTACTACCACTACAGTTGCTGCCACTATTCGCTGATCTTTGATAGTATTGAAATTTTAAAGTAAAAAAGACACATTAATTTCATATTATCGAATACTTAGCATGGTAAATAATCCTGAAAACTAGAAATTTTAAGTTTGATGAATACAGTATCCTAGAGGGAAATCATCATTTTATCGTATCTATCATTAACTATAACATAAATCGATCTACAGTATTTTGCGCGAAAATTTATAATGCGACAATAATTGTAGCAGTGATAGTATGTAAAAATGGTTCTTTAGGATATTGTATTTATTAAGTCAAAATTTTTCAAACTTGAAAACTTTTCATCACTTCAAATATTTTATAATCAATAAATGTTGCTCAAATTATGGTCAAATCTCATTTTAATCACAAAATTTTGTTATATTATCAAAGATCAAATTCAATAAGTTTTTACAATTATTTACAATTAATCTATTGCTGATGAAATATCACTAAATGTTACTGTTAAGATTTTCAAACTAATTTTTATAAATTATTCAAAAAAGTGCCAAGAATACTCGTTTCTTTTCTTTTTTCTGTCGAATTTATTAATTGAACTGGTTCGTTCTTGTCATGAGTTCGAAGATAGAATTGTTGCAAATAGGAAAGACAAGTTCATGACAACAATTAATATCTTCATTCAAATAAACTTACTGTAACTATCATATAGTTTAAGTATTTTTGGAAAGAATTTGCAACAGTCATTAAAAGTGGACCGAAGATGTACAGTAAAGCAAAGTATTGGTTGAGATACCTAAAGAGAGCCTGAACGTGAATGGATATTTTAAAAAAAAATGAAAAAAAAAGGAAGATGAATGGATGGTTTATTGATTTTTTTGAATTAGTTTGAGGTTTTTTTATTTCCTTCCATTTCATATTCCTGAAAGGTCACAATGATAGCTAAAATACAAGCGTCAACTTTTAAAACTCTATCTTAAGCCAATTTTAATGGTAGTAAAACGATAGCTTTTTCCACAGTTTCGGATCTACTTGTTTAGTCAGTATCCATGCATTCGTATTCATACGGTATGTTTATGAATCATAAATTATAATCAAGTGAGAAAGTTTGGCTCTTGGAAAAAAGAAAGTAGTAGCAAAGTAGCCAAGATTATTATTATCAAAAATTCACTACAAAATTGGGGAGCTCTGTTATTACACATAAGTCTAAAAAAGCCAAGGGATGAAAAAAATTAGAAAAACAATTTTGGCAAAATTTGAAATTTAAGAAAAAAGATTTCCTGCTCTCTTAATGACATCAACATTATAATAATAGGAGAAGAATGCATGAATATCGATGAGTTTGCTAACCGGACATGAAGAACAACCGGATGCAGGAATTTTCCAGTAATAGTAGTTTTGACGGGACATGTAGTAAGATAATATGAAACAACATGATGACCAAATGTTCCATTCGGTGCTAGTAACTGTAATATAATGAATAATTATTCAAAAGAAGTCTAGGCTGTATCCTAAATCCATATTCTAACGAGTTAGTTTTAGGAAATTCAAAAAATATAGCTTTCCTGTAAAAGTGACAGCAGCAACTTGGCGCATTGATAATGTGACCATATGGCAAAGGTCAAACGTCGAAGGAAATCTATCAAGTTCACCAAATTGGTGTTGTAAATCAAACTCTTCAAGTGTCTGTATATGTATATGTTGGTGGCCGAATTTATGGCTAATGATCCCTTGAGAATCAAACTATAACTAATCGAACGAATCATTTGTTTCGTAGTGAATTCAATGTTACATAGCAATCGATTAAAATATATTAGTTTAATTTAAATTTAATCCAGTAATTTGATAATTGAAGCTTTCCATACTGCGAACTTCATTTCATTCCATATTCCATTCATCTTTTGATTTCAAATTTATTTCTTCCATTCCACTTCATACACTCACATTCAATTCATATTTAATATCTTTCCTGTCATCGATGAAAGATGCAATTTTGGAATTGCATCATATTTATCAATTTGGAATTTGAGCCAAGATTGTTTAAGAGCTATTTAAATCAAACTATTTTGAAATTATTATTCTAATAATATATTTGAAGAATTCGATTCAAAAATTTTCAATTCTAATATTTCACTGATATATTTGAAAAATTCAATTTTAATTATCATACAAGATATAATAGATATATATGTTGTTGAAAAGTACCAAAGTTTTATTTCTTTTTTCCTTCTTTTTTTCTTTTTTTGCTTTTTTCCTTCTTTTCTACTATTTTTGAAATAGAAACTTTTATAAGTTTTCAATAATAATAGCTTCGAGTAGGAAAAAAAACTCACAATTTACAACAAAAGTTCATATTTGTTAAATTTTCATTCATTTGTTGGAAATTTCTTCATAACATCAGCCATTTAATCATTCATTTAGAACGATTCATATTCTAATTTTCATACATTATTATGGGCTTGTAATTATTGTCTTTATAGTAACATACCGACAAAGAAACCGAGGAAGGATAAATATGAGATATTTAGATCAGATCCGAATAAACCCAAAGATTCATGACGGATAAAGGAACTATTTAACCAAAAAAAAAAAGGTTGAATTATTGCATAGCGATAGATTAAAATTGGAAAAGGTTTCGGGAAGGGAAAATGCAATGAAGTGCTGAATTATTATTTTGAGAGATAAGAAAAACAATAAGTTATCATTAGAAAGTTAACAGTTCCATTATTATGCAATCAATCTTATTAACTGAAGCGAAATTATAACTTTAGAAATTCAAAAATTAATTTCAGAAATTCAAAAACTTTCAAAAACTCTTCTCCGAATTTCAATGATAACAAATTGCACGAAGTAAATTAATAAGAAGCAAAAAATGAATTCGTTAAATTTATTGTGAAATGTTATTACACAAAATTAATTTTGCTGAAAACAAAAAAAAGATAATAAAGAAGAACTTTAGTTTTATTCAGATGAAAATGCGCTCATAGCATTCATTTGTCAACTTTGATTGTAAAATGACGATTTCCTTCATTCATCTTTTTTTTTAATTTAATTTTAAATTTACATAGTGATAAGCTTTTTTTTCATAGTAATTAATGGGTTAACATCCTTACAGATTAAAATGTCACATGGCTAGCATGAAGATATTGAAGGACTTCTGAGACTTTCATTGTTCGTTTATTTGAATTAAAAGAAATTTTTGTCAAAATTTCTCAGTATCTCTCACTTAATATATTTCTCGTGTTTTTCATATATTTTAAGCAAAGAAAAGAAAATTGAATTAAAATTTTAATTTTCATTATAATTAATATTTAATTAAAATTTAACTAAGAGATAAACTAATTGTTAACACAAAATTCTTTGCTAAAATTTGCATTATTTCAACTTTTGGTTAGTATTTTAATTGATTAAAATGAAATAAGACAGTAGAATATTGTAAGAGAATCAAACACCAATGAGGACAACAAAACGGGATTGACCAATACCAAAAGGAAGGAAGTATTTATCGGATAATCCCATGTGTGATAAATGATTGTTATTCAATCATCCATAAAATGCTTACTTTACACAATCATATGTAGAAAGAGAAAGAAAGAGAAGGGGAGAGAGAGAAGGAGAGAGAAGGGGGAGAGAGAGAGAGTTATCGGAAGTGAAATGATGGAAAGAGTAGAAGGAAAGAAGGATGGAATGAATGGAAAATGATAGAAGGAAGGAAGGAAGGATGGAATGAATGGAAAATGATAGAAGGAAGGAAGGATGGAATGAATGGAAAATGATTTAGATCAGATACGGGGATATTTTCAATTTGAAGAAATCCAATTAGTGATATGATTTGAGGAAATGATTATTTAGTGATAAAGTAATTTATCTGAAAGTTATCATAATTTCTTCGAATAAATGAAAAAGATATTATGGAAATTAATACTAATCGATATAATTTACATAAAAGATGAATGGAAAAATATTTTGGCGCTTCTTTTCGCCTCAATTTTATCATAGCATTTTGATTTTGTTTTGTCATTCAAATGATCATTTCAAACCATTCAAATGCAAATGAAACAAATGTGGACATTACTAAGTGGACATTACTAATTCAAGATGTAAGAACATATTGCAATATGCAAATTGGAAGAAGAAGGTTGAAGATGAGTCATCCAGATAGTTCTAATAATACATAATTGGATTAGAGCCATCGCTATTACACTCATAATATTTAACCCTTCCCAAAGGAAATATTTTTGAAGTATGCCGCCGCCTTTCCATGATCATTTAATTGTTTTCACTGCGAGATGATAATACATTCAGCTAAGATTGACAAGTTCGATATCAGTGCACCTTCATGTCTATGTCTGTAAATATCTGTCCTTCTGTGTGTGTATGTGTGTCATAAGATCAAATGGTGTGGTGTTTCATGACTAAATATTACTAAGGTCATTTAGTTAACCTCTAATCTTTCCAGCTGCAATTTGCATACATTTCGATTGTCCTCATGAATATATCCATGAACCAATTCATGTTATTTTGCAAATAAACATCAAAAATCTAACAACAATGATTTCTCAACGAGGGAATACTGTAAAGTAAAATATTCGCGCATTTGCGACAATTTAGCCATGAAAAATACAATGATAATTAAATTTAATAATCAAATATCTCTCATCAAATCACTTCGATTTCTTATACATTATTGATTAATTTGATACAATCAATATTTCAAATAATTACATAACATTGCAAGTTTAATCGATCTTATCAAAAAAAAAAAGAACATGAACGAATATTACGAGTTGATTCAACAGAAGAAGCTTCGTTTAACCAATCAAAATGACTGGTTGAATGAGGCTTCTTTTGTTAATATTATTAACACAATGTCAACTTTTTCAATTAATTACTTTAATTAAATCATTGAATAAAGTTATCAGTGACAGGTAAGTGAAGTAGGAAATCAGTGCTTTAGTTAGCATAAATTTATCAGGTTCCTTTATGAGCTCTTCTTGCAACATTTTACTTGTGCTTTGCTTTTTTGTTTGTTTAATAATTTTAACTAAGGCAGATTTAAGAACAATTTGTTCCCAACTTTTATCTTCCATCATTATCATATCGCTCGAATATGTATTGTTAGGAGAGCCCATGTTCCTAGCAAATTTATAGTATATTAGCCATTTAGAAAAGAAGTTACTGATAAGAGAATTTAATCAATCGATATGTGTTTAAACATCCATTTGTTACAATGTATTATATCATTTTTCGTTAAAAAAATATAAAATTAAATTTTGATTCGAAATTTTTATGGTAGTAAAAGGAGTTGTAATAATTGTTAACAATATGACAAATGATTGAATAAAGATTTTATAGCAATGTAATTTAATTTCATATTTGAAATATCAATTTTACTTTTCTTTTTTTTCTAAAACACTAAAAGCTTCTTATTTTTTTTATTTGTTTTGTTCATTGTAATAAATTAATGAAAACATTAAGAAAAGATAACAGAAATGACGTTGATCGAATGATTTATGATGATAGTTTCATTTGAACATAACTTTCGTAAACATTTTAGTTTAATTTTCATCACATGATCATTTCAAATTATTTCTTCATTGTTCCTCCTTTTATCAACATTTTGGAATTCAGTAAGAGAGGTGGTAAGAATGCTCCTTAAATGACAAATGATATCAATCAGTGCATTTTGCATCCATCAATACTTGCACATACAGTATCATCTTTGATGATCAATATTCTTGAGATAACATCACTCCAAAACTTCTTTTTTTTCTTTTCACATTCACTACGATGAAATAATTAAAATTTTTCTTTTTTAAAATATTATTAAAAATTTTCATTTCAAAGTTAATCAAATAATGTGAAGAAGTAGCAAAATAGTAATATTTGAACGTTATAATATTAAGGGGACTTGAAAATTTGATTTTAAATTTGGAAGAACACTTGTTTTTCTCTTCAATTCAAGTATTTAGCGACAAAAGATTGATATTTGATTTTGGATGATACTTTTTCAAAAACCTTTTACCGTTCAAAAATTTACAATAACATCTCAATTTTTGACTTGGTAATTTATTTAGAATGTACTTCAAGGTGTGAAAACTTCTTGTCAAATCATTTTTGAACTTGTCATTATCAATTATATTCCAATCATAACTATTCATTTACACATTTCTGACTTGAAACAGATTATCGCTAAGTGATGCTTTAACAGATCACCGACGTGATATATTACCAGTCCTTTTTTCTGGCACCTAAAATCCATCTTCATCAACTTTGGGTTTCGTAACAGCTAAGTGGACTAGAATCCTACAAGTTATGATTTTCCAATCTTTGATATCTTTTTAAAATAAATAAATCACCTACTAATTTCTAATTTATTACTGCATCCTGTCCACCTAAAGAGACTAGAACTAATTTTGATGACACTTTTAAATTTTCATGTTATTTTGAATCAGCATATCCCAAATTTTTTAAATTTTCTGCGGCAAAATCAAACAGTCACTAAGAATCTTTGAGGAAAAAACTTTTTTTATGAAATTAAAAAGAAAAGAGCTGGAAAATTTTACAATAAAATAATTTATGCAATAAAATTTATTAGTCTCGTCATATTTCCACTAAAACCATTGGTAGGTAAAATTAGAGATAACGGAAGTTTATGACATTCTAACAAGCGGAAAAAATCGTTCATACCTATTTAGTACGATAATTTCACCTTGATTTTTTGATAATAATTTATTAAATTTTAATAAAATTTCTATTTTTGAAATTTTGTGAAAGTTAACCAATAAACAAATTAATTGCATGAAATGCATAATTGTTAATCCAATTAGAAAAAGTAAATCTTTTCATAGAAGACATAAATGACTTCCCAGCCTTTTATGATTCGGGATTTCGGAATTTCGATTTGATCTTCGGATAGTAATCATTTCATTTAAGCAAAAGGGACCATAAATTTGCTAACTGATAAACAAGCTGATCCCATTCAAAGACAATCCACTTTTATTAAATTAAAATTTAACTGAAACACTAATAATTTTCAATTAATACTTTCTCTTTATCTTGAGGGATTTGCCAATATGAAATGGGATTTTAGTAAGGAAAGTAACATTTGGTGTCGGGAAAGTTATGGGGAAAAGAATGGAAAGAAGAGGAAAGAAGCCTCGAGTCAATGATTTATGAGGCACCAATTGCTCTCAAACATTTCCTGGCTTTCTCAAAGTTCCTGTCCTTCCCAAATGCCGCCCAACCATAACTCATCACACTTTCATTTCTTTCTTTTTATCTTTCCATCTTTTCTCATCCTCTTTTTCCTTCCTATTTCTCCACTTCACATCTTTCTTCTACACTTGAAATATTCCAAAATGTATTTGTTAAAACAAAAGGCACATGTGCAATCATGTCTTACTGCTTTTCAAATGAGACGAAATGTATTGAATTGTCCGAAATTTGTCAAATGAGTTGACAATAATTTCGAATTCATTCACTGATAAAATTCAATGTAATCAATTTGATTAATGCAAAAAAAATCACAAAAATGAGTGTTTTGGATTATGAGAATTTTTAAATTTAAAATTAATTTTTATTTGAAAATTTTTATTTGTTGAATTGTCATATTCAGAAATTTACTACAGTTTTCTTTCCAGTCGTATGAAAAACTAAAATTAGAATTAGGAATGATTAATTAACGAAGAAATGAGCAACTTTGCGGCTTTTTTTGTTTCCATCCGAACTTTGACCATTTTTGTAATTTAAATTCATCTTTGATTAAAACTTCAATTTCCGGTTTATGCTCTCATGAAGTTAACAAATGACATCTGCAGATTGTTGAATTGGTAAATCGTTGGCCACTTCGATATCACCGTTAATTACTTGAATAAAATGAACATTTGGTTCATGTTTCTTTCTTAAAAATTTCAAAACAAGAAGAAATCGATAAAAACCAATGAAATGAACGAAAGAGTTGGAAAAATAGGAATAGCAAAAATGGAATTTAAAAAAAAATTAATTTTTGAAAAGTGTTTTTCACACTCGTTTTGTTTCATTTCATTCTGCTTCAATCCCTTACCAAAATAAATATCCGCCAAGGAAAAGAAATGGATGATAATTTTGTGATCATTTTTTCACTTTTTTTTTTTTGAGAACAATAGCAAAATTAACACATCATTCTCTGCTAAATTAAATTACTCTTTAAAAGAGTTCTAATTTAATTTGAAATTGTTTCAATTCATCAACTTTTTTAAAACTATAGTCATTGTCACTCAATCTCCATAATTTTCGATCCAAATTCTTCTAAAGGATAAATATTTTTAAAATTATCAGCAAACAAATACATTTACCTTTCTTTTTCTTAATTAATCTTCGGTGCAAACACTGAATATAATTTTGTTTGTTTGTGAATTGCTTTAATCAAAAAACTTCATTTCATTTGTCGAATTAACTTTTTCAACACCAAAATGAACAAACAAAACAAAGTTTATGAGCATTTTGATAAAAGGACTAGACAAGATAATGTGATAATATTTAATAAACAACCAAAATGGAATCAAATGAAATCCATCATAACATTAAATTATTGGTGAAATTAAAAAGGATGAATGAAACTAACAAATGTTGTTAAACCGGAACATTTCACTCAAAGATGTTCTGATACTTAATGATTATTAATGACTGTCTAATTAGTTAATGATAGAAGAAAGATGCGAAAAATTTTAAAGGAATTTTCCGTGACCAATGAAAATGATTAGTATAAACATTCTACGTTTCAATCCTTTCTATCTTTCGACTTATTAAACTGAGGTAGATCATTTAAGAGAAAAAGTCTCCTTTGTGATATATTAATTAGGAAGAATAGTAAAGATTTGACAAAGATTTCAAATAAATTATGCATCAAAAATTGGATTGACTATTCCAATTTTTTTATTTAATTTACAAATTAATGTTTGAATTATTTATGTGACAATTTACTACAATTGAATTAATTGTAAATTATCAATTTTACTTATGATTAGCTTCGAATTGATCCACTTTCTTTTTCCATTGCTAAAATTCAATTTCGATATATTAAATCAAAGATTGTTATCCGATATATACCCAATTTGATGGAAATATTAAAAAGTTTAGCCATAAATGTAATAAGCATTAAACATAATTCATACTTAAGCTATTACATTTTAAAATCTAAATTTAAATAGTAAATAAAGAAATGCTCTATCCGTGAGAAAATTAGAATTAATTACTGAACTTTTTAGTGAATTATAGAAAGAATAGTTTGAAATGTAATTAGGAAGAAGTTAAATTGTTTCAGAGTGATGTATAGGATGTCCTGTTAGCTACTTCATTAATTATTGTTCCTACAATTGCTACCTTCTCATTCCTATCCTCTTCTTTCTTCGTCTTCTCCATCATATTACCACTACTGATGCAATCCTTGGCACCATTATTTTCTTCATCGTTTTCGATCCGATGACCAATACAATTATCATTACTATGTAAAAAAGCCCTAAGGGGTAAATTGGTTGTAAGGATGGTAGTAGTGGTTGCAGTGGTACAAATGGTTGTTGGTGTTGCTATTGGTGTTGTATTACTAGTAGTAGTAGTAGTGGTAACGATAGTTTTGTTTGGTGGAGCAGCAGCCAGTCGTTGTTTCTTCTCTTTCATCCGTCTATTCTGAAACCATATTTTAATTTGTCGATCAGTTAGTGCTAACAATGTGGCAAGCTCATTTCGTCGTTGCTTATTCAGATAACGATTGGTACGAAATTCTTTTTCCAATTCTACAACTTGTGGAGTGCTATATGATGTACGACCTGAAATACATCCGTGTTTTTATTGATCGATTCGATTACTTCTGTAAGCTATAAAAATAGAATTTAAATAAAATTAATTAAGAAGAGACGATTAAAATAAGGTTAGTTTATTTATAATTATCTCATAAAATAACTTATGCATGATAGTTAATAACCATTAATATTGATTAAACTTCACTCATATCACACTAAGCAAATAATTCCTGTCAGATTAAGTAAACAATTCTTCTAAACCATTTCTGATTTGACTATTAAATTTAGCAATAGATATTTTTATATTTATTATAATTATTCAATGACATATGGTTGATTGATTGATTAATGCAATTTTAAAAATTTAGTAAACGTAAATTAGATATGATTTCCAATAAATAATCGGTTAAAGTATGCTAACGTTATCACAATATTGTTACTTTTCTTTCTGTAAAAAAAGTTAAGTAAGAGTGAAAATTTGTTAACTTTTTTAAAAATATTCGCATTTTCTGTCCACAGAAATACAGTTAAATGATATGTTATGGCATATACCTTAGGCATGTGCTTTTTTTTTCTCTTCGAAATGTTGTTTGTTTCGGAGGTAAAGGTGATGATGATGATGATGATGATGACGATAGTGATGATAATAATAATGATAATGATAATGATCATGATGATGGTGATGGTGATAACTAAAAAAAGTTACCGATTGTCGCCTCATTTTTGTGTAAATAGTCGTAGATAGTGAAAAATATGCAGATATGTTTGGAGTTGTTGCAAAGGTGATTCATCATTATTAGAAGTGATAGTATAATAGGATGATGGATGCTTGGGAAATTGATTTAAAAAAAAAAACAAACGAATTGATTTTATCATTCATTGCGTAAATTTCATTTCAATTAATTTATGCAGAAATTTCTTCTGTGGTAAAAAATTATTTTTATCAGTTCAAAAAAAAAGCGAAAAAATTTTACACATTTAGGAAATGAAAATTGTAGGAATTTTCTCGTTTGTTTTTTTTTGACTTTTCAATTTACTTTTGATTAGCGAAACATTGCAAAGTCATCCATACAATGTTAAAATTACACCTATTGAAATTTCAAATTTAAAATCATGCGTTAGCTTTATTAAATTATATTATGGTTAGAAATTAAAATAGGAAAATAGACCGATGAATTTTGCTATCTTTCAATTTTCTTTGAAATTTTCAAATTTAATTATTTCTATTCAAAGTCTTCAAATTTATTATTTCTACTTTTTTTTAAAATTTTTATTAAGAAATTTCTCTATTCCTTTTCTTTCTCCACAAATGTAATGATATTTTTCGATTGTAATGTAAAAAGTGATAATATCATTCATGCTGAAATAACGCATCTTTACAAGAATTATAGCATGAAAAATTCCAGAAACATTTCTGAAGACGAAATTCTTTTTTTTTTTTTTACGAAATGAAAGAATCATGTTTTTTAAAAGTTAACGAATGAATCAAAAGGCTGCAAAAAATGAAAATAAAGTTTTTTGTGATTGATCATTTCCAACAAAAGAAAGAAATTGCCCATGAAAATGCCCGCAAATATGGTGTTGTTACCCTTTCCTCTGAAAATGAATGCAACAATCATCATTTCCATTCATTTGTTAACGTTTAATTTATTCATTACCTAGAAATTTCGATTAAATTCATTGATAGGATGGGATCATCATTTGTTTACAATTATCATTAACTACTATCATTAGTTTATATTATGCAGTAGTGATAATGTAGAATGTTTAGAGAATTTCAAGTTTGGGAAAAATATGAGTTGGATGAAAAAACAATGCAGTAGTTTTAAGTTAAAAGTTTTTTTCTAGATTTTGCCTTTCAAATTTGGCAATTAGAGATTAAATAATAATAGATAAACTAATTTATGATAATTTAGAGATTAAATATTTGAAAAAAAGAGCAAAAAAAGAAAAAGAAAAAATGATGAATTGTCAGTAACATATCTGGTAAGGGTTAAAGGTTACAGTGTAGTGTGCACGTGTAGTAATGAGATTATAACCCGTTGTTAACATAGTTAAAAAAAAGTCCTAAATTATTTTCTGGTAATCAATTCCTTCGAAATTAATTCAAGCAGATGATTTTAAAAGTTTATGTATTTCCTTTTAAGTAATCAGAAATGGTTTTTGAACTTTTAAATTTATCGATGATCAACATCCAAAAATTATCAAACGGATACGATCACAATCCTCAAGAAGATGTCCGGTGAATGCTAATGAAAAATGGATGATTGACTACTGAGATTGTTTATACAGGTAACAGTACTATCAAAACCTTCCACTATACCACACACCACACCTCACACAACGCACACACATACACACACCTGTGCACACCTGTAAGCATACACAGTGTCAATAATCGGAAATAATTACTATTTTATTTCTTCCAGTAACTATGCTATATACTAAAGCTAATGAAGATATGTTGTTATTAATTAATTTCCTACTACCTATGGAATTTATCCCATGCAAGTTTTCATTGATTGATAGTGAGCTAATTGTTAATATTAATTAATATTGTTTTTATTGATCGATAATGAATTGATCAATCATAGAATTTAGCAACAATTTATTGAATTTGATCATTGAAAGGATGATAATCACTAACTATCAGATGTAATCTATCACTGAATTGTTTGAATTTACTTTTTATATTGCAAACTATTTGCAATTTATTATTATAAATTCAAATGGAATGAATAGAAATACGCTGTCAGTCACCTTCCCGTGTCACAATTTTTGTTGACAGTTTTATTTGTCATTTTTAATTATTATATTTAAATCTAACAAGTCTTTCTCATTTTACCACTGATACATTGATTTCACATAATTTTTCGAACTTCAACTACTAGATCAATTTACAAAAAATGTGTAACTATTCGGCTGGTATCTTACATTATTCTTCAAAATTTTCAATTTCAATTCCCTTTTTTAAAAAGACTGGTTTAAATGACTTTTTTTCCCAACATACTATTTTTATCGTAATATATTGTTTTCTCTTTCTTTTTGCGAGTGCTTACTTCTGATAGCACTTTTTGGTTATCATTGCTGGTTCACAGTAATTGATTTGTTATCAATTATCAGTTGGGGGATTTTCATAGCAAGTAATAAATAATAGTTGAAACAGCTAACTGGATAAGAATAGTAATTTGCCTCAATTTATCGATACTATCATAAATTAGAAAAGCTTACAAGTTCAAAATTGCATACATGTTACCTGTTTGTGATGTGATTACAGTATCAGTTGTTGATCTAACGGTTTGCTGGAAATGGCGTGATTGCTGAGGATCCTTTTCACGTTCCAACATCCATGCGTATTTGGGTCTTTGAAGACCGATCCGGTTCCCTCTACCATAACCATTACTACTAGTACAGTTTATAGTGGTAGCAATAGTCGTTGTAGAAGAGCAATTATTCGGAATGGTACCATTTAGAAATAGATGGGCATAATCAGAGGTAGATGCAATTGGTGTACGATAATGTGGGTAGTATGTCTGAGTTTGGTTATGATGGTACTGATTGCTGGTATTCGGTAATTGTTGATAGTATTTGCCCGATTCATAGGTACCATAAAATCCAGCGAAAGGATAAGTACCATAAGTATCATATGAGGAACAACAATTCACGTATGGGTAAGAGTAAGAAGAAGAAGAAGAAGAAGAAGCAGACTCAGCATTATAACCATTCTCCATCGTACATTATAATCAGATATGATCCAGTCAGGGATCGGATCGGATTGATGGAATAGAAGTTGATGAAGGAAGGAAGGGAGGCGAGACAGATTGGTTGAAGGTGCAATGGTTGTTGCTGTTATTCCATCAATTGTGATGGAGGAGAAGTTAGCAGTCTAAGCTAGAGTGATATGGATTAGTGACTAGGAAGAGGGAGGGATCTTTCATTTTCCGCCATTTCTTAGATGAAATGAGGAGGACCCAATCAAGCATGAATGCAACCATGAAATTTTCAAATTTTTATGGTAGTTCTAAAGCTTCCTTGATCCATCCCTTCTAGCATCTCTTCTTGAACGCATCCTTCCGTACTTTGATGAATTGCTTACTATTTGATATGACTCATTTCAAGATACATTTAAATTTGCATATTTAAATGGAGATAATAGAATTTGTTTATAATATTTCTAAAAGGAAGATATCCTTTATGAAAAAAGAAACCATTGATTCAGGTTACTTTTGCATTACCGGAATTCAACTGCTTACGCAATTCAATTTAATGCTAATCCTATAACGGATATATCATTCACTTATGAGATATTCCTGAAAAAGAAAAAGTCATTTCTTGAAATGTTTGTTTAATTCGGAAAGCATAGTTCTATTCGAAATAAAACAAAGTCAAACATTTCGATTGTTTGGATTAACTTAACTAAAGTGAAACTGTACAAAATTTAACAACAAAAAAGAAAATGCAAGGAAATTGAAAAGGACTGACATTTCAAAGGATGGATGGGAAAAGGTCATGTTATCATTTAACTGATAAATTGCATAAAAGCATAGAAGCATTGCTTGTTGATCACATCGTTACAAATGACCAGTACATTATTATAAATTTTAAACAGAATTAAAAAATAAAACTTATCGCATAGAGAGAGTATTTGATCGAATTTGGAATAACATTAATTTAATAATTAGTGAAATTGTCACAAGACTATCGAACAAGTGATGCTACAAATTTGGCAATAAATGAATTGAATTTTGAAACAATTGTCAATCCTTTATGTTATAAGATAAACAGACTAACAGTGATCACTCTGATAAGTCAGTATTGTAGATTTGTAAGATTAGAGAGATAAAAGATGAGATTAACTTGTTCCAAACTCGTGTTGTTAATTTTTCCTGATCCATTCAGTTCATTCCGGAAACTTTGATGATAGCACTTTTAACTAGCAATGATGCATTCCCTCTCGCGGTCAACTTTTCATTTACTTCCAAATGGTTCACCAAACATCATAGCGTAACGCATGCATGCATGCATTCATTCCAGGCGGCAATTGTTCAGGCGATTCACATCCAATCTTCCATAAATATTCCAAACCAACACCGCACAATATCATTCATCTCTCTGTTTGTATAAGAGTTTTTTGGAGCAACGCCATGCAGACACCCACCCCCCCCCCCCCCCCACTACCCTTCCCTCCCCTTATCTATTAAA